GTCACTTGGACACATGAGGGACACTATTGGCCCTGGCCCTGGCCCTGGCCATGGTCCACTGTGGGGGGCCACAATTGGCCCAGGGCCTGGGCCATTCAGGGGGCACCATTGGCCCTGACCCTAGGCCACTATGGGGTCCCTAATTTGGACACATCCTGAGCCACTCATGCTGGGAGGGAGGCATTGGCCCTGGCCCTGGCCTGGGCCCCTGGAGGTTCCAAATTGGCCCAAGCCATGGGCCACTCCAGGGCCCCATTGGCTCTTGCCCTGGTCCTGGCTGTGGGCAACTGGGGGTAGGCATTTAGCCCGGATCCTTGGTCACTATAGGTTGCCCAATTGGGCCAGACTCTGGGCCACTGTGTGTGTGGGGGGGTCTATGGCATTGACCCTGGACCTGGACCTGGGCCACTGATGGGGACCCCAATTTCTTCCGGTGCTGGGCCAATCAGGGGGCCCCATTGGCACTGGGCCCTGGGCCACTGGAGGAGAATATTGGCACTGGGTAGGCACCTTTTGGCCCAGGCCCTTAGACTCTGATGGTGCCCCATTGGCTCTAGTGCTAGACCTGTCCATGGGCCACTGGGGGCGGGGTGCATTTGGCATGTGTGTGAGTGCTGTCACACTGTGCATGTGAGTGCTGTGACACTGTGCATGTGAGTGTGTGACACTGTGTATAGTTTCTGTTACTTCCTTGTTTCTTTATTAAGTTTCTGTCTGGTGTTCCTATCCAGTTGTGAGAGTGGGTTGTTGGAGTCTCCCACTATAAGTTTATGGGGTTTGATGTGTGATTTGAGTTTTAGTAACATTTCTTTTATGAATGTGGGTGCCTTTTTATTAGTTGCATAAATGTTCAGAATTGATACTTCATCTTGATGGACTTTTCCATAGTGATGGAAATGCCCTTCTTCATTTCTTTTGATTAATTTTAGTTTGAAATCTAATTTGTTAGTTATAAGGAAAGGTATGCCAGCTTGTTTCTTGGGTCCATTTGATTGGAAAATCCTTTTCTAATCCTTTATTCTGAGGTAATGTCTGTCTTTGAACTTGAGGGGTGTGTCTTGTATGCAGCAGAAGGATGGTTTCTGTCTTTGTATCCATTCTGTTAGCCTGTGTCTTTTTATAGGCAAGTTAAGACCATTGACATTGAGGGATATTAATGACCATTGATTGTTAATTCTTGTTCACTTTGGATTTGCTAGTGGTTGTGATGTTGTGTATGTATTTTATCCCCTTTTTTTCTTTTTTGGTTTTTGGTAAAGTGAGATTATCTATTGCCTATGTTTTTGTGAGTGAAGTTAACTTATGTTGGAGTTTTCATTCCAGTATTTTCTGTAGGGCTGGATTTGTGGATATATATTGTTTAAACCTGGTTTTGTCATGGAATATCTTGTTTTCTCAATTGGTAGTGATTGAAAATTTTTCTGGACTGGTATCCATTGACCCTTAGCATTTGTTGAACATGTTTCCAGACTGTCCTTGCATTTTTTGTTCCTTTCCTTTTCTTGCTTTGCATTTCATTTCCTTGACCTTTGATGAGTTATAACAGACTCAATGATAAGGAAAAATAATACTTCCCATAGTTGGAAGACAGTGGACTTTAAGGCAGAAAGGCTGCATTTGATGGGTACTTTCTATTGCTGGAGTTAGGACCAGAGCCTGTGTCCTGGCTACTCTAACCAGCCAGGCTCAGTCATTCATCCTCCGTAAGCCAATTAAATGAATCAAGTTATCAACTGATGTACCCTATATAATGCAGGCACTCTGGAGTAAGATGGACAGATCTCTCTGATGTCCTAGGACAGCCTAGTCTATAGTGTGAGTTCTAGGCCAGACAGGGAGTCACACTAATACTATTCTTAAAAAGAAGAGAAAAAAATACAAAAGGGAAAATGAGAAAAATTATAAAAATTTAAAACATATTTATTCAGTTTGGCTAATTTGGAACAATAAAGAAAATATATGGTAAATAATCCATCCCTGGGGTTCTAACAGGCTCAGATAGAAGGCAAATATATGCAAAACTAAATAATCTAATGAAGACAAATAATGAAATTTCTCTAGCTCTAAAACACTTCCACATCCTCAGTTTCTGTTTATCCTGTAAGGTGGTCAGATGAGAAGTAAATGTTTCTTCAATAGAGACATTCTCATTTGGAAGACTCAAATGTTTTCCCACAATGAGATTTCCAGGGAAATTAGAATTTTGTAGGTCTACTGTTTCATTAGTTGTAGGCCAAAGAGAGTCCGTTTAGACTGTCCTTATTCCTACCAAGAAGGTAGGTTATAGGGATTGCTAGGATAGGGACTGAGAAGCTTTAGGGTCCAAGAAGGGACCACAAAGTGGGGGCCCACAGGGAACTGTCACTGGCAGCTACATGCAGTTGTCAAAACCAGAAGAGTGAAAGACCTGGAGGGCACTGATCCACCACAGGTGAGTAGATACAGAGAGCACAGTGTGAGCCATCTTGTCCTCAGGTACACCCCAAGCATTGCTTTCTGGTCATTTGACCCTGGACTTTCACACCCAAAGCTCCCTCCCTAACAATTCCTCCATACTCTATAGCTCTTTATAAATGTTAGATCGCCCCAACCTTAGAGTGCCTTCTGTCTCAGGACTGCCTGACAACCTGGTTTCATCTGGAGTCACCACATTTCAGGACCCCTATGTGAAAGTTTTACAGGCATCAAGGAAGCAGAATATGATCCCAATCACAGAAGTCAGTCTTCATGCCTGCAAGTTCCTCATCTCTCCTTACAGGAAGTATAAAATCCAGCAGGGCTACACAAGACATTGTGTACAGCTTGCATTGCTGTGCACTTATGATACTGGAGATAAACTCAGTCTTGTGGCTTTGGTCAAGCAGTCAGAAACGTTTTAAAGATTTATATTGTCAGTTTTTCTACTAGTCATTTTTGTACCCTTCCCTCATTTTGTGCGTATTTGGTTTTGGAAACTTCTTTAAGACCCACATCTAAATTAGTTTTGGATGCTGTCAATCTTGTATTTGTTTTGGGTGATGAGTACTGATGTAAGATGAAGTCAGGATCATCCATTGACACCTTACTGCTACAAGACATATTCATATGGCTAAATAGATGGTTCAACACCTGAGAGCGCTGGATGCTCATCCACAGGGTCTGACTTTTATTTCCAGCACTCAAGACAGCTCACAACTGCCTGTAACTACAGGCACTGGGGATCAGATACTCTCTTGTGACTTCCATTGTTCCTGGCAAGCTCCTGATATACACACTGGCAAAACCTACACACCTTAATTAAATTGTATTCTTTTTGAAAATAGCAGACATGAAGAAAGCCTTTTTAAAATAAGAAATAACATATATATCTGTATTTTCACCTTCTGCATATCTGGTACCCTAGTCCAGAAGAATGCATCAGATCTCCAGGACCTAGAAACACATGTAGTTTTGAGATATGTGCTGTAGGTACTAGCAACCAAAGTTGGGTACCCAAGAGGAGCATGACTATTCAATAAACTCTCCAGCTCACAGACATGTCACTAAAATGTAGAAGATGCCAGATTACTCCTTCGATTACTTGAAGGTGATGAAAGTGCCCACTATATGGTTTTCATAGGATTCAATGGCTTTCTATCCCTCTATGAATGGACTTTCAACTTTGCTTCTCATTGTCATCGTTTACAAAATTCTCACGACGAGAATAAAGATAACAAGTGATAACAAAGCTGATTTGTTGAAACCAATCAGGGTCCAGTCAGATTATGTAGGAAAAGTTCCATAATTTGAAATATGCCTTTTCTTTTAGAAATTTTTTTGAAACAGCCATGCCTGTCCTGGAACTCACTATGTGTACCAAGCTGACCTCAAACTCAGCGAGATTGGCTTGTCACTGTCTGCTAAGTACTGAGATTATAGGTATGTACCTATAAGCCCAGGCAAGTTATAGTTTTTTAAATTATGCATCTTTAAATCAGATAATTAAAGAATAAGATTTTAGAGGAAACCATCAATGTCTTGATGAACAGTAATAGCACTTGAAATTCTGTAATAATAATGTAAACTGACAAATGATTTCATATATTCTCAATAACTGGGTTATTTGCTTTATTAATTTTATTCACTTAAAAATGTTTGAATTAAGATGGGCAGTGGTGGTTCACATGTTTAATCCCAGCACTTGGGAGGCAAAGGCAGATGGATCTCAGTGAGCTCAAGACCAGCCTGGTCTACAAGAACTAGTTCCAGGACAGACTCCAAAGCCACAAGAAACAGGAAATCCTGTCTTGAAGCCCCCCAAAAAGTTTGAACTATGTTTGTATGTATATACCTGTGCCATCATGTATATGGGGTAGTGAGATGATAACTTAAAGGTGTCTATTATCTACTTCTCCTATGTGAGTTCTAGTGTCATCTAGCTGCAAGTGACCTCAATGATGCTTACTTGGGTTTAAAAGTTATTTCAGTATGTGCCAGTGTGGGAATGTGCATATGCCACAGCCTGAGCCTAGAAAGAAGTGAAAAATTTATGGGAGTGATTCAAGTGCTCTTGAGATTGAACTCGGGTCATTAGGCTTACAAGCAACCAACTTTACCCACTGAAAAAAATCTATGGTATTCAGTTGTGGTTCTGAGACAGTGTTAGGGACAAGTATTTAATCCTCAGAATAAACTAAGACAATCCAAAAGAAGAAGAAAAAAAAAAAACCCAAAACACAGCAGTATATCATTTACATTTGTAAATAGGATCTATTCCAACTATCCTGTTTTCCTCTCTCCTTAGATAACAATATGTTTACAGTCTGAAAACAAGACAATATTTTACTGATATAAGGTTTCAATTAATCTTATTTGAACAACAGTAAGAAACCTAAGTGAGAAATGTCTGTGCAAGACTGGTACCTGACCTTGATCACCATATGAAGAAGGCCAAAAGTAGACTCCACAAAGTTGGCTTCTGGTCCCCACATAACTGTCATGGTCTAAAAACCTGTAATCACATTACACATACACACATATAATAGAATGTTTTTTGTTTTGTTTTTAATAAATCTCATTGCTATTACATTGTAAGGCATTTCTGGATAGTCCCCTTTGAAGGCAGTACATCAAGGTGAAGTACCCCATGGGAAAATAATGGGGACATAATAAGAATGTAATTTCAAAAAATAATTACTTAGATACATATCCATAGCACATGAAACTATGTTGTGAAATAATGGTGTGGACCACATGGTGACCATTGCTGCTTGCCAAAGTTCCAGCATTTCGACATTGCAGACCAACCACACTTCTCCAGCACCTGCAGAGGCAGGCAGATCTCTATGAACTCCAGGTCAGATTGGCGGAATGAGCTCCAGGACAGCCAAAGCCACACAGAGAAATCCTGTCTCAAAAAACAAAAAACAAACAAACAAAAAAGACAAAAGTAGATACCACAAAGTTGTCTTCTAGTCTCCACATATTTGTTTTGGCTTAAATAGTCACATTACACAGACACACAATAGAATTTGTTTTTAAAGAATAAATGTCATTCTCATTACATTATCGGAATCTCTGGATAATTCCCTTAGAAGGCAATTCTTCAATATGATGTGCCAATTAAATAACTGAGGGTATGAAGATGCATGATACTTCAAATAATATATACATATTCATGACACATTAAGGTATATGGTGAAATATACAGTTGAGTGCTGATCATTCTATCTTATTACATCTCTTCCAGATAGATGAAAATGTTTCTTGGGACACACACATGAGGTATTTAATGTTTTTATATTCTCTATTAAGAATTTTAACATTAATATTGTTAAAACATTAACATGACAAAACAGCAAATGTTGGGAGCACATCATATACACTTAGATTTATACCTCTAAGACTGACACATAAGGATCATGAGTTCAAACGTATCCCTGAATAATTACTGACATCCAAGCCAGGCTGGATAACAAACAACATTTCAAGGGAATTTGTGAAAAAAATATGAAAACTAAAACCAGGGACAAAAACCCACCACCCTTTCACAGACACCCTTACTTGAAAAGTATGATCTCATGCAGCCTAATATGTAAATAAAAATGGAACACTTAGATGATGAACATCATTTTCTATACATTGCAGCAGAAAAATATCTCTCACTAAGTGAAAGCACAATAAAAGATGAACAAAAGCCACTGAAGAAATATAAGGACAACCAAATAAACTTCACTAAATAGATTTGCCACATATATAGCACACTATAATATCTACCTCAAATGTTGCAAAATAGAAGCCACAATGTGATCTTCACATCACTCTTTAGTGAACTTGGTACATAATTTACTCACTTCAAGGCTATATTGAAAGAGAGATAAAACAAGTTTGTTTTCTTGAAACTGAGACAACTGTTAAGTCTAAAGTACTTACCAAATCATTTACATGGATAGGTTTTTTTTCTTGTGTGAGTTCCTCCATATTTCCCCCGATATGAAAAAAAGCTTTAAAATATTTACAAAGCTAGAAACATGACCGAGCCCTTAATATTAGTTCATTCCCTGGACTAACGTCAGGTTTTTGAGAACTTCCAATAATCCCTGCTACAAGAAGCTCCAAGGGTCTAACATTCTTAGGAAACAGAATGTACATGCACATACCCACACAAAGACTCAGTGACATTGCATAATTAAAACTAAAACAAATCTTTAAACTAAATTTCACTCATGAATATTTTCTCTTGTAACTCCTGTGACACAGGTGTTGAGGCATCTAAAGGCTTACAGAGTTTTTTTTCCATCATGAATTGGTTCATGTAACAGAAAGCAAGCATGTACACTTGAAGTCATGAATCATCATTCTCAGTCTGTAAAATCATTGCTGAAAATTTACGTCATGCTGCTCTGCAGGAAGAATGTCACCGGGGTTGGCCTGAGAGAGAACATCTGCACACCATTTTCAGTTTACACTTTCTACTTCATGCTGCAGGTTAAGTTTGTGAATTCTTACCTTCCTACTTTAGTTGCCGTGTCTGACACCTGATTCCATGCCACTTTTATGTTGATGCTCTATCGCCCTGGAACCAAGGGTCAAATCAAACCCTTTCATAAGTTCACTTAGACATGACGTTGAATAACAGGAACAGAAAAGGCACTAACACATACTCATTAAGTTTTACACTGGATTGATTATCTCATGTAACTGAAGTATGAAATCTAAAGGGGATAGCTTATCATTTACATTTTATAGGCCTTTTGTCCATGTGGGTTTGCCAGTATAAACAAAATAAAGAGGGACAACATAACGCTTGAACAGATTTTCTCCAGAATAAATAATCTTCTGTAACTGAACATAGGTGTGTTGACTAAAGATCTTACCAAATGATTTATTTTCGGATTCCCTTTGGTATGAGTTTTTAGGCTTTAATATACCAATTACATAGTAAAATATTTACTCTTGTATAAAGACTACCATGATTTGCAAAACTTTGCTACACTGACTACATTTAGAGGGTTTCTCTGCAGTATGATTTTTGCTTGTTTTTGAAGACTATTGATACATGCAAAGTCTTTCTCACATTGATTACATCATTTTTAGGGTTTCTCTCCAGTATGTTTTCTTTCATGTCTTTGAAGATGACTGTGCTGCGCAAAGGCTTTATCACATTGATTACATTCATAGGGTTTCTCTCCATTATGCATTCTTTTATGTTTTCGGAGACTCTTGTGACATGCAAAGGCTTTATCACACTCACTACATTCATAGGGTTTCTCTCCAGTATGTGTTCTTTTATGTGTTTGAAGATTACTGTATTGTGCAAAGGCTCTACCACATTGATTACATTCATAGGGTTTCTCTCCAGTATGTGTTCTTCTATGTATTTGGAGACTGACTAGATGTGCAAAGGCTTTACCACATTGATTACATTCATAGGGTTTCTCTCCTGTATGTGTCCTTTTATGTGTTTGAAGACTACTACGTTGTGCAAAGGCTTTACCACATTGATTACATTCATAGGGTTTCTCTCCAGTATGTATTCTCTTATGTGTTCGAAGACTCTTGTGACATGCAAAGGCTTTAACACACTCATTACATTCATAGGGTTTCTCTCCAGTATGTGTTCTTTTATGTGTTTGAAGACTACTGTGTTGTGCATAGGCTTTACCACATTGATTACATTCATAGGGTTTCTCTCCAGTATGTTTTCTTTTATGTGTTTGGAGACTCTTGAGACATGCAAAGGCTTGACCACAATGATTACATTCATAGGGTTTCTCTCCTGTATGTGTCCTTTTATGTGTTCGGAGACTGATTTGGCATGCAAAGGCTTCACCATATTGAATAACTTCAGAGGGTTTCTCTCCAGTATGAATTATTTTATGCCATTGAAGATGACTGTGACATGGAAAGGCTTTAACACATTGTGTATATTCAGAAGGTTTTTCGCCAGTATGACTTCTTTCATGCCTGCAAGAATAATTGGCACATGTAAAAGATTTACCACATTCAGAATGATGTTGAATCTTCATATCTGTATGAATTAATTTTGTCTAATTGTAAAGAGTAACCAGATCTTAAGCTTTTATCACTTTGCTTACACTCATGCTCCCCTTCATTAAGGATTGTTTTGCATATTTGAAGATGCCTGTGATAGTAACAGCCTTTATTACCTGGTTCACATTTATGGCATCCTTTTTCTCTATGAGATTTTTCATATATTTGAAGAGAACTGAAAGAAATCAGACCACTACCCCATTTATTCCATTGATAAATTTTCCTATACTGTGAGTCATACTATATTTGAAAAGTAACCAGGACAAACAGAAATATTTACACATTCTGAGTACTCATAGGGCTTTTCTGCAGTATAATGCAGTTAATGTATTCCAGCTTCATTAAACTGGAAAATCAATTACTTGGAAACTTGAATCACATTCAACAAGTTTATTCAACTTGGGGACTATTATATCATCTAATTGTTCTCAGATACAGAGAGGTACATTGCTTCTTTCCATATTCCTCTGCTCATATGGCTTATATCCAGAGTGATAAATGATATACATATGAAAGGAAGAATAACAAATAAAAGGTTTCCATATTGAATTTACACAGTTCAACTTTCTCTTCCTCATAGACATATGGTACATGGATTAAGGTTTCTCTAAAACAAGCCCCTTGAATCTTGCCTTTAACTAACAATCTCACTAAACTTAGCAAAGTCAGAACAACTATATGAGTAACACTAGCTTTACTATGGACTATTTGCTCATTAGAAGGTTTTAGACATACACTTACCAACCTATTCAATCTGTATACCTTTTATAATATGAGTGATATGAAACTAAATGCATCAGCAGTTCTACAGCTTAGCTCTGATAGAGCTACAATCCAAGTGTTGATATCTGCTAAGGCATTGATTCCTTGTCTTAAAAGAATGACTTGCAAATACAATTCACTTACCTGCCATTGCGGTATATGGTTTTGTGAGAATTTAATGATTATCAATGCACTTTAAGCTGTGATTATTTACACTGCTGCTTTTCTTTAAAACTTCTAGATACATTAAAATATCTTCAAAGGCACATCTTTATCAGAATACACATGAAAATTACCTTTCATGTCTTCGAGAACTTTGACAATGTTCTTCAATTTTATGATCTTCCCATTTGTAGCCTAAAATATAGTATCAGGAAATGTGTATTTTTGGAAATTATACAAAATTTCAGTTATTATCTTCTGTGATCCTTAGAACTATGCCTGATTTATTCACCTCATTCTCAATCAAAATTACAGAAGAGCATCAATAACCAAGAAACAGTTGCCCCCTTATTTTAAAACGTAAAGGAAACTTCACAGTATTACCTATAGCAGCGAGGTTTGTATAGGTCTCCAACATCACATCTTTGTAGAGATTCTTCTGGGAAGGATGCAGCAAAGCCCACTCCTCCAAAGTGAAATCAACATGCACATCACTGTAGGTCACTGCGTCCTAAAATATGCCATATATGTACACAATAAAAAGCATGATACTGACAACATTGTGAATGTATATTTCTTTGACAATATAGTTATATAATTCTGTTATTTCCCACACTTATTCTAGGACACAGACATTATAAAATAATCAAGTCAATTTAGAAGGAAACTGACTAGGAGGTTTACCTCTATCATTTATGAACACTTTGAATAGGATATCACCTTGTAAGAGAAAAGCCCATTAACAGACATAGAGAGACAAGCAAACAGATCACCAGTACTGAGTACACATCAGAGAAATTTCATGAACAATTACTAACTAGAAAAAATCTTGAACAAGCTGGGTGCATTGGTTCATGCCATTCATCCCAGAACTTAGAAGGCAGAGGCACATATATCTGCCTCTGAATTGAATGCTGGCCTAGTCTATGAAATCCATTCCAGGATAGAAAGAAGTAGATATTAAGAATCTGTCTTTCCTGAAAAAAAAAAAAAAAAAAGAAGATAGGAAGAACTCAGGTTTTCTACTGAAGTTCCTACAGAGTTATGGCATTTACTCCAGTCCTGTATTCATCTTCCAGAAATGCAAAGGGCTCTAGTTTAAACTGTAACTTTAATAAATCTTACTAAAAGGGACCGTATGTTTAAAACAGTTCTAAATTGACAGATGAAAACATGAGCAATGTAAATATTGATCATAAACAATCAAGACAGGGCAAGTAAAACAGCTCTTGCTTGTCTTGCATATAGGTGAGTTCAATTGCCAGTACTTACATAGGGCATCACAACTATCCATTTTTCCAAGCTCAGGGAATCTTAAGAACATTTTCCACTACTATGAAGACAGTCACACATGTGGTAGATATGCATGTATACAGGCAAAAGAATCACATTCATTTTAAAAAATAAAAACAAATACAACAAGCAGGAAGAATGACACACACCTGTAATCAGATGACTCAGAAGGCCCAGGCAGTACTAATGCAATGAATCCTGCCATTCTAGGAAAGAGAATGATGCCCTATGCCAAATTTCAAAATTCAAGCTGGGGGTGAAGCACAGATAAATAGCATATGCTTGACAGGTACAAAACCCT